GTTTTTTCTGTGGAAAGAAAACCGATTTGAAATTTTACAGAAACACAACTGAGCATCACTGATGGAGGAATTCTGTGTATAAAGCTAGAACAGTAACTGTCATAACCTAGTAGAGTGAAGAGGGAATTTACCGACAGTGTGAGCAAGTGCACGTCAGTGCGACAAAAGCTGTACTACAGAGGTAGAAGCACTATGGGTTGGCTGGCTCTATGCGTGTTTGTTTGTCTGCCGATTTCAGAAGCACAAAATTTGAAAAGAAACACGTGAAAACTAATGAATCACACAAGCATGACTGACTAAGGACTACTGGGAATGGCGACACATTTAGGGCTGACAAAACATGTCTTGTTTTGCACCTGGTGTGCCGTTGAGAGGTGCTGAGCTTTCCGTCTGGTCTTCAGTATTCCTGCCAACTTAAAATAACACAGTGGAAGGAGTTGGAGAATATTTACACCCCAAACAAAAACACAGTCTAGCTTCTCTGGATGTCTTAAGTTACATTTCTCAATGATCAGAGTTTTCAGCATTTAAGGTTTTTAGATCACATTTCCAGAGTGAGATCACTCCATAACATCTACAGTGAGCACAAAAACTGCACGAGGGTCTGCAGATGGAAATTAGCCCAAGGCTCATTAATATGCATTGTCCCTTTTTCTAAGTAAGTTCCTGTCTTTATTCAACAGTGCACACACCACAGAGCTCTGCACACACATTACTTTTAATTTGTAATGTTGGATCTTAAACACGGACTACAACTTCAGTCAGTTTTAAACATCGTTTTTTAACACTGTCCCGTGTGTCACTGAGTGCAGGGACAGGTAGTCGCCCACAGGTGGCAGTGACTCTGTTTTGATAAATACTTGCAACCAAACAGCATGTAGTTTAATTTACACTGCAGTGGTTTCACCGCAGGGCGATTTCACGTTTACACAGTAGAAGAGTTTCTAAAACTCAGCCCTCCTCAAGCTAAATACTCCAAAACCACTTGAGCTGTCAGATATAACTCTGCAAAACACCCGTCTCAATCTACAGCCGTCCCTCGTTATCACGGTAGCTACGTTCTAAAAATAACCCGCGAAAGGTGAAATCCGCGAAATAGCCAGCTTTATTTTTTACAATTATTGTAGATGTTTTAAGGCTGGAAAACCCCTCACTACACACGTTATACACTTTTCTCAGACAAGCGTGAACACTTTCACACTTTTCTCTCACCTGCAGGCGCCTCTGAAGGTGCAAAATCAACATTGTTGTGTTTGTTGGGGAGAAAACGTACAAACATACAGTACAGCACTTTAGAGTCACACTGCCATCAAAAAATCATTATTTAAATGATCAGCATCTGTGCTCAGAAATGTGCTTTTTTTAGTCGATTCTACAGAACCATTCACTCCTTTCAGAGCAATAGGATCCTCATGATGATAAGCTTGTCGTCTGTTTTAACAATAGTTTCTCAACAGTAGGCTGGAAATTACACAGCCAAATCTGCTGGGAAACACACTGGC